CCTTGCAAATTCTAATTGATTTGGAAGTACACACAACTTCATTGACCAGTAGATGGCCAAGAAGTTAGGATGCCAACCTAATATATATATATATATATATATATAGGAGCAATCAATAACTGTGGTTGATAGGCGGAAGGTTACAACAATATCAGTTTGTAAGAACCTGCAGTGGTTGTTGCGGGGCACTACATTTGCTTCTAATTTTTTACTTCTACCCCGGGGAAATGTAGATATCGTCCTAGTAGTGCAGTGATGAAACACTCTAGGTAGGATATTGTTTGATTTCAGGAATAGAACTATTGATTTTAGATACCAAGGCAAGAAACATATCTTGAGGGGGACTACTATAATCATTTGAAAATAACCAAGAGCAAGTTGTTGGATAAGAATTATGAAGAGGACACTCAGTTCTATGTGATGTCTCTCATCACTGAAGATTTTAAAGTACAGTGTTACAACCTCCAAACTAATCAAAGCAGTGTAATTTCTTTTGTTCTCACTGATCTACTTGAACAGTTTGCAAGTATTTTTGAGATTCCAACCACACTACCACCACATAGAGGTCATTATGACCACAGAATACCCTTGGTGGAGTCCTCTAGTCCAGTCAATAAAAGGCCTTACAAATATCCATGAGTTAAGGACACTATAGATAAATCGGTCCAAGAAATGATGGACCATCGAGTGATACTACACAACACTAGTCCATATGCTTCTCAGTAGTTTTGGTGGGAAAGAAGGATGGAACTTGGAGACTTTGTGTGGATTATAGAGAGTTGAATCACTTGACCATCAAGGATAAGTTTCATATTCCTATTATAGAGGATCTTTTGGATGAATTGGGAGGGCAATGGTGTTCTCTAAAATCGACCTAAAAGTGGGATACACCAATTGAGCATGTTTGAATGAGATACTCATAAGACAACATTTAAGACTCATGATGGCCATTATGAGTTTCTAGTTATGCCCTTTGGTTTAACTAATGCCTCATCTTCTTTTCAAAGTCTTATAAATTCTGTGTTCAAACCATTACTAAGAAAGTCAGTACTTTTCTTCTTTGATGATATTTTGATTTAAAGCAAAATTTGGATTGATCATGTTGAGCATGTGAAGGCAGTGTTTGAGTTGATGTAAAGGTTTTAGCTTTATGCCAAGATGTCTAAGTGTGCTTTTGGGGTGCTTCAAGTAGTATATCTTGGTCATTTCATTAGTGGAGAAGGGTTTCTACGATCTTAAGAAAATTACAACAGTTCAACAATGGCTTATTCCTAGTAAATCAAACAATTAAGGGGATTCCTTGATTTAGCTGGGTACTCTAGAAGATTTATCAAAGGGTTTGGTTCTATCTGTAGACCACTACATGATCTACTTAAAAAAGAGATTTGTATGGACTAATATTGTCACTAGTGCCTTTGAAGTGCTAAAAGGGGCTTTGGTTTTTGCTCCCGTCCTAGCCATACCTGATTATGCTCAACTATTTGCTGTGTTAATGCAGCAAGGGAATCCCATTGCTTATATTAGCAAGTCCTTATCTCCCAAACATCAAGCTTTGTGTGTATATGATAGGGAACTGTTAGCCCTCATATTTGTTGTCACCAAGTGGTCTCAGTACTTGTTGGGAAAACACTTTATTATCAAAACTGATCAGAAGGCACTAAAGTTTTTGTTGCATCAACATATTCATGCAGATTTTCTGGTGGCTTGTATCTCAAAGCTCATGGATTTTGATTTCAGTATTGAATATAAGAAAGGGGTTGAGAACAAAGTTACTGATGCTTTATTAAGAAAATTTAATGTTGAACTGTTGGCATTTTCATTGCTCACTCCTCATGATTCTCTACTGGATCATTAAGGCTTCTTGGACTACTTATCACTCTTTACAGGAGATAATTGCTAATGTATAAACAGCTCCCTCTAAATCTTTCACTTGGCATAACAACCAGTTAAGGTGGAAAGAAAGACCGGTGGTTGGTATTGATCCTAACCTAAGGAGGAATATCATTGAACTTTGGCATGATTCTACTCGGGGGGGTCACTCACTCAGGTATGGATGTTACCATTAAGAGGTTATAGTCACTATTCTATTGGAAATCTCTTTCCCAAGATATCTGAGATTTCATTAATAGGTGTGATATATGCCAGAGACATAAATATGATGCTGCTACAAACCTAGGGTTATTATAACCTCTCCAGTTGTGTGGATTAACATTTGTTTAGACTTTTTTTAGGGCCTACCTAAGTCTAATGGTAAGGAAGTTATTTTGATTGTTATGGACAGATTAAGCAAGTATGGGCATTTCACGGCTTTGTCCCATTCCTACTCTGCTCAATCAGTAGCCCAGTCCTTCCTTGTTAGTATCTTTAAGTTCTATGGAATGCCAATCACCTTGATTAGTGATAGAGATCCAATATTCCTTAGTACCTTTTGGCAAAAAATTGTTTAACATCCAAGGTGTTCTATTACAAAGGCCTACTGCCTACCATCCATAAAATGATGGTCAGACAGAAGTATGGAACAGAACATTAGAAACATACTTGAGGTGCATTTGCTCTGATAAGCCTAAAGAGGGGTCTTCCTATTTTCCGTTGGCTGAATGGTGTACCACTCTCAAGTGTACCCCTTATGAGGTTTTATATAGACAGAAACCTCGTATCCATCTTCCTTACTTGGTTGGTGAAGTTGCTATTGATATGGTGGACAGATCTTCAGTTGCTAGAGAATCCATTATTTAGTTGTTGAAATTCCATATTTTCAGACCTCAAAAGAGGATGAGGTATACAACTAACAAACATAGGTCTGATACGTCCTTTGTTGTGGGAGATATGATTTACTTGAAGCTTCAGCCTTATCGACAAGTTTTTATTGTTGTGAGAACATCTCCTAAACTGGCTGCTAAATATTTTAGCCTTATCATATTGATGCTAAAATTGGAAGGTTGTTGATGCCATCTGATGTTCTTATTTATCCAACATTTCATGTTTCACAATTGAAGAGATGTCTTGAGGTTCTAATAGTCATCAACCATCCTTCAGTCTTTCGTCTCTCGAATCCTTATTGCCCTGACCCTGAGGCTGTCCTCGAAAGGAGGTTAGTGACAAAGGGTAACAAAGTTGTTGGCCAAGTCTTGCTAAAATGGTTTAGTATTGATGTTAATCAGGCTACTTGGGAATTTATATCCGAGTTGAAGCACATATTCTCTCCATTTCATCCTTGAGGTCAAGGATCATCTTCAGCAGGGGGTATTAATATAAGTCTAACACTGAACTAGCCTAGGTGAGTTGGGAAGTTAGTTAAGTGATGTAGCAAGTTAGTTAGAAGTAGTTGCAGTTGTCAGACTATAGCAGTTAGATTTTCAGATTTCATCTACTAGTTTCATTTCTATAAATATAGCCAATAGATATAATTGGATTCATTCATGAAATAATATTTGATTCTCTCTTACTCTTCTACATTCAATCCAACCTCAATTCTCGGTTATAAGCCTGATTTGGCTATCATCTTCTTCGAGTCATCTCCTAGATTAGCTAATTCCATTACAGATTGCTTAATTGCATCACAAAACTCTTCTAAAAAGGATTAGATAAGTTGTTGCCCCCCTCGTAGGAATGACAATAGGGAGGGGCAAGCCTTGACCTGCTAAGATTTTGACCACCCTACCCTTCTCCGTTTACTATTTTCCAAAATATTACCCTACTCTACCCTACCCTGACGTGCCGTGCTAAACACTGCCCTAGAAAATTTTCTTAATTAACAAACATTAGGCCTTAAATAGGATTCCTTAGCTACACTTTGGTTTGCTACACATTTGTATTTTCGTTGTATTTTTTCACGAATTTCGGAGAAGAAAAAAATACAAATACAGTATCAAAATGAATATTTATTAGGAGGCGAGAGGCAAGCGAGATTGAGAGAGATACGAGTGTAATCGAGAGAGGGAGGAGAGGGGATGAATACATGTTGTATTCATTGCATCACGAATACAATTAATACATAATACAAATACAGTTGATACAAAACACAAATATAATTTTTCAAATACAATTGATATAAAATACAAATCTTTCACCTATATTTGATTGGATATAATTGATACATAATACATTTTAAAGAGAGGATGAATGCATATTGTATTCGTATGAATGCATATTATATTCGTTGTATCACGAATACAATTGATACAAATTACAAAATAGTTTTTCGAATACAATTCATATAAAATACAAAGTATTCACCTATATTTGATTGAATACAATTGATACATAATACATTTAAATGAATTTCTTTTTTTTAGAGAGAGAGAAATTTGCTATAAAACCCTACATATAGCTACAAATTGTAATAGTTTATCATAAATATAAATCACATGTTTGCGTTGTTGCATAATTTTCCCTTTTAAAAACTGCTTTTGACTTTATTATATTTAATCCTAATTCAATAATTTAGCGGAATTCAAGATCTGTTTTATTATTTTTATACTTAGAAAGGCCAAAGTAACATCTTTGGAATAAATTATTCTTTCTTGTTATTTCACGGCAACAGTAACCTCTTGGAAATAAATTAATTCTTTCTTGCTATTTCACTCCAAAAGTAAGATATCAACTAACCAAATTGTTTTGCTTTTGAGATGTTCAGATTGAAAATTAAATTTGAGCTTAGTTACTTTTAGAAGTAGGAAGCCTACTTATAAGTTAAAGAATATTTTTGCTAGATAATATCTATCCAATTAAATGATAATTAACTATTCAACTTCTTAACATTGACAAACATGTCACTATACAAAGATCAAAAGATAGATCATTCACAAGCACTTGTACTACCATTCACTCAAAGTTTTATTTTAATAATATCGATATTATTTTACAAAATCTTGTAATTCATGACTTGACATACAAGTGAAACACATGTGTCGAGGAACTAGTCCACGAAAAGAAGGGAGATCATAACTTGCATTTTGTGCACTACACTAGGGACCAGAGTCACCAGAAGGAAAAGAACCTCACATCAGTATAGACTCATAGCCTTCCTGATCCCTTTGATTCCGACATTGATAAATAACATCAGCACCAAGAAGTAGTGCAATTCCAAACACTGCCAAGGCTCCAATAGCATTCTGCAATATTACAATCTCACCTGTCTGCAATAGTGAAGAAGAAACAAGTTCAGAAATATACCTTGTTTAGACTTAAGTAGGAAATTCACTACTCTGAATCTCGAAAGCTTTTAATGAGTAAAAGTTTTAACTTCATCTGTAGAATGTAGGATAGAATTAGGCTTCGGTGATGGTTCAGCAACTAAGAGGAGGAGAGTGATCCTGATGTTGTTATCATCAGGGAGGAGGGGAGTGATCCTGAAGTTGTTATCATTAGGGAGGAGGCTGCTTCGACGTTGAATGCAACATATCAGGTTGTTCCTTCTACATCAAGCATGTGTAGGGAAGTAGCCGAATCCAAAGAGTTTACTGATACAACCTCATATTCTGAGTCAAAATTCGAATCTTCAACTAATGCTCTTCAAAAGAATCGGAAGAAGATTCTTGAAGAGTCTGAGTTTCTGAAGTTTATTTTGATTCAATAAAAATGTCAATGATCATAATAAAGTCATACCTCCTGACGAGAAGGAATATCTTTCTGTCAAAGAAACACTTTCTTTAATATTCCAATTTGAAGACGAGGAACCTCTTCATCCGGAGAAAGAAGATTGGGAAAAGGAGATTGACAATATTTTTGTTGAAATGTACATGAGTATGGAAGAATCGCATATTGGCTTTACAAATCCATCTGTTTCACTGATGCAGAGTGAACTAAGTGACTGTCAGATGGGGAACCACCATCTTGTTCTAGATGAACAAATTGAACTCATCTGTTCAGTTTGTTCATATGTCCATTTAGAAAGCAAGTACATATTCCCTGATTTTGTAAGTATACGATTTTTTTCCTCTCTCCAATTTATTTATGATTCACTCTTAAATTCTTGAACTTATGTGTCATCTGCAGTCTCAGAGAACTCGAGGGAGGTACTGTCACGACCCAGGGGTACCCCTAGATGCAACACGGCGTACAAGACTCCGAAAAGTTTCATACAAGCCTCATAGCATTCATGAACATAAGAGCATATGAAATAGTGCAGAATTTAAAACTTTTCTTTACAATCGAAATCATTTTCATAAAAGCAAGCGAAAATCTTTCTATACTTTGTCTCAAACCATCTAGAAACATAAGACTTAAAACGTTGGGACACAGCCCATACAAAAGCTCTAAACATAAAGTAAAAGACATAAAGGGAAATAATGGGTTCATCCTCGAAACTATGAGGACTCACAAAATCTTCATCTCCTTGCACCTTAGAAACCTATCTTCCAAGAATAAAACATCAAGTCCAAACCCTACACTTCGTAGAAAAATGGAAGAAATATGGGTTAGCACAAATAATGTACTAAGTATGATAGCCATGCAAAAATCATGCTTTAAAACGGGAATTTGGTTTGAAAATCATGCATTATGCCAATTTGAGAAAACTTCATGAACTTTTGCATAAAAGGCATAAGATACAAGCATAATCAACATACAAGCCATTTCATCACATTAGAACATAATCAACATATAAGTCATTTCATCACTTTAAAACCTTCACCTTAAGTAACCCCAAGCTATACTTTGTGCAATGTATGAATAGCGTCACATACCACCATCAACACTAAGTACCACATTAAGGCCACCAAAAGTGAACTTACCATTCTTCCTTTTCATCTTTAGACCATACTCATACATAAGGAACAAAAACATTTCATAAGTCATGACAAGGAAGTAACTCATAATACATCCAAGTATAGTATGCATCATTACATTTAAGCATACAAGTCAACATTCTTCATTAGCTTCATTTAGAGCACTTTCATTCATTAGTCATGAAGACATTAGAGAACTCACTATGACCCTCTCTAAGCCTACTAGTGCAATGCATGAATGGCATCCCATACTACCACCCACACTTCATAGAACTTCTCAAGAAACCATAGAGAACGTCTCACATGATGGGAATAAGCGTTTAACTGACATAGACCATGTGAGCTTAACATGGAATCCGATGTACTATCCCACATCGTAAGGGTTGGTCTACTTGCCTAAGGTAGAATCGGTAACATTTTAGCTTAAGTGGATCCACTAGCTAATATCGTATGTGGGCACATAGTTATGGGATAGGAAGATGTTCATTGGAACCCGACCTAACACGGGGAGAGTTTCCATATTACCATATCCACTCGGTGCTTAGCCTCCATTCCCATAGAGTAGTTCATTCACATTAACATTATTGTACATGAGAGGGTGGCATTGGCCTACCGACCCAAAGTACATTGATTGACACATGAAAGGGTGTCATAAGCTTACTGATTCAAGGTACATTAATAAGAAAGCTCATTGAATCCTCATGAAAGGGTGCCATAAACCTACTGATTCAAGTTTTATCATTTCACACATGAAAGGGCTACCAACACTAGGGTCTACCGATTCAAGGTTTATCATCAACATTCATGAAAGGGTGTCATAAGCCTACCGATCCCAAAGTTCATTAACATCATTTATGGAAGGGTGCCATAAGCCTACCGATCCCAAGTTTCATTATTAACATGCACGGAAGGGTGCCATTAGCCTACCGATCTAAGATACATCATTAGAATAGATCATAGACTCATCATGTAAGGGCTACCAACATTAGGTATACCGATTCAAGACAAAGCCTTACAATACTTCATTAGTCATTTATGAAAGGAATCCCATAGGCCTATCGATTCATATTCATTAAGTTGAGACACATCCATTAGTCATTTATGAAAGGAATGCCCTAGGCCTATCGATTCATATTCATTAAGTCAAGACACATCCATTACACAAGAAGAGGATGCCTAACCCTACCAATTCAAGATACATCAATCCACATTACTTTCATTTATACAAGAAGAGGATGCATAAGCCTATTAATTCAAGATATAACATTACATTATAGAAACCCTTCACATTCTGTTATCATCATTCATGAGTTTTAATGAGAATATACTTTCAATCATAACACAACTACATTCTAAACATGATCATACTAATTTCATTGAGATCACACACATATACTTAACATCATAATCATACATACATCCTTCATGAAATTGCCTTCCAAGGCTATGAATCAACCTCAACCCAAACATCTAGAATACTACATTAGATAAGGGAATTAACATGATTCAATAACTAATTCAATATAAACATAAACAATTCAACATACATTCATGATCAATCAACCCAATTCACATACTTCCAAATTTAGAATTTTGGGGGAAACATGGGTTCATAGGATAAATCATCATAATTCACCATTAATTCAACAGTTCCATCATAAATCATCATATATGAACCTTTGAAAACGTTTTGGAATTGAACACATGCATAGATTGAAAACCCTAGGTTTTTTTTGGGGATTTTAGAAACTTGAAATCACCTTTTGATAGGGCTCCTTGAATGAAAGTTAATCAAGGATGAAGACTACCATACCTTTAGGGAAGAACTCCACGAAATTTGAGTGAGAATGGTGAGATCTTGAGCTTGAAAGCTTGACTCCTTCTCTAATGGTGGTTTCTAGAGAGAGGATATTTGAAGAGGAGATGTGGGTTCTAATTTGTGTTTTGGAAGAATGAATTGGAAAAAGGAGTTTTAATACCTTTAAAAGCCTTAAAATACCTTAATTAATCAATAATAACCGTCCATTAACTCAACTAACTTAAAAAGGAATTTACCAAAACACCCTCTTATTGGCTGATTCTAGACAGTTTTCTACAGTGGTGACTCATGAACCCCACCCATAGATCGTGGGTGGGTCCACGGGCCGTACTGGCAAGCCGTGGTTCGTGGCTACAACTTACATTTAGGGACCTTGACCCACGGAGGCCATCCACAAGGCGTGAATGGACCTACGGGGTGTAGGTCCCATCCGTAGTTCACCATTGTTTTGGCAGCTTTTTGGTTTCTTGGGGTCTTGGGGGTTAGGATTTAGGGTCCTCCTCAAGGACCTTGGGTGGTCGTTGGGGAGTCATACCTTGACGTTTAACCCCTCAACCTAAGCTCGGGACATCATTTAACAACTCAAAACCTCATGTTAAACTCAAAACAAAACTCGTTAGGCTCTAGTTTCACTTACTAGTTTTCCAGGTCATTACAGGTACGAAAGAAAATATTTTGGAGAGTCGCCATCCGTCTTTGATGTTGACAGCTTTAGAGTTTCTGATTTTTCTGCAGCCCAGGATTCTCCTATTTACATAGAAGGAACCGTGTGGGATTTAGTTCCTCAAATTGCAAAAGCGACAACGTATCCTGATAGGTTTTCAGATGTTTTAATTATCCTCACAAATGCAGGGACTCGGTCCTCTGCAGAGTTTTCTCGTCCAGGGCAATATGTTGTACAGCTGGAAAGATGTCATTGTCAGAGGTTGGTGAAGTCGTCAGCGTACATAACCAATAGGAACGGACGAGGTTGTTTTTCCAATGGTCAATAATTCTTTTTGGTTTGATATAATCAAAGAAACAAACAACTAACAAATCATTCATTCAAAGAGAGAAAAATCAAGCTTCAAACAAAACAACAAGGGACCTAATCGACTGAAGAATTTCTTCCTGAACCTGTTGTTATTTTGATTGCTTGTATTTGTGTTTATCTTGTAGGATTCGTTTCACTCTTGATAGAAACATTTAAAAAACCTTGTGTGATTCATTGTAAGAACATCATTAAGGTTAACTTTGTGTCTTACGGTCAAAAGTCTATATTAATCAGTGAAGGTTAATATAGTGGGCAATGGATGCATTGTTTAGGCTCAGTAAGTAATAGGTTGTATTACTTAGTGTTGAAATTAAGAAGTTAATCTCATCGTGTGGTTGTAATCTGTGTTTCACTTTTGCTTGAAAAGATTAGTGAAAGCAGTTGAAAATCTTGTGTGACAGGTCGTGGTTTTACTCCCTTGAGCAAGGAGGTTTCCACGTAAAGTATCGCGTGTTTTCTTTACTTCCAGTATTTACTTTTCTGTATCTTAACTGTGCTAAAGGACCTCGTCTTGTTATTATTAGTGGACGCATACATTCCATCATATCCTCATCAACGTGAAGGATTTGAGTTCATGTGGAACAACATTGCTGGAGATATAAGTCTTGAGAGGCTGAGAGAGCCCCTATCTTAGAGTAAGGGAGGATGCGTTATATCACACTTACCTGGCACCGGAAAACCCGACTCACCATATAATTTCTTCAGTCATTTCTGAAGCTGTTCCCAGAGTGTCGCCTGTAATCATGGCACCATCTAATTTGTTTCTTTACTGGGAAGCCGAGTTCCAGAAATGGGCGGTGGATATTCCCTTCCACAACTTGAACAATAAGGACTTCTCTTTAAAGGAAGATGAAGATACTGTTGGTGTTTTTCACTGTTTATCCCCTGCTATGAAAACAAATCCACACCTTATACGCATGGTGAAGCTGAAATCCTGGACGAAAAGTAAGAGTATTTTGGGAATCAGTTATGACTTGTTCAGGATTCTCACGGAAGAAGATGGAGAGGGTTATGACAAAGAGACTAGAGAAATACTTCTAAAATTTCCTGGTCTTCTAGTCTTTGAAGAAGGGCACAATAGTTGGAATGAGCAGAGTCTTGTGTGGAAAGCTTTGAGAAAGGTTAAAATAGAGAAACACATACTTTTTTCTGGAACTCCATTCCAGAATAACATAAAAGACCTGTACAACACTCTCTGTGTTGTTAGTCCAAAGTTTGCTGCGGATTTGGAGCAGAAATGGGGATCTCTTAACAGTTTCACTGACAAGAATGCCCGAGCGTTGGAAGAGCTAAGGGATATTATTTCACCTCTTGTCCATAAACCCACCTTGTAAGGATAGGATGTTGTTAGCAACTAACCACTGGTCTGTTGAAATGATTCAATTTTCTGAAGCCTAAAATTGAGTACATTTTAATTACCGTCGAGACTTTGAGGGAAAAATGAATATAGTATCTCAAAAAGAAGTATTCATATTATTGTCTAGATTCATTCCTTGATATCTTGCTAATTGCTTTTAATATATTTTTTGCGATTAAATACTTAGACTTGATTAAATACTCATAATAGTCTTTAATCACCTTGTTACAGACCTATTCTTGCCGTATTTATATTATATTGCAAAATCATGTAATTCAGTAACTTGACATAAAAGTACAACATAAGTGTACAAAAAGAAGGGAGATATATGATCCTTTTTAGACTTAAGTATAGACTCATAGCTTTCCTGATTCCTTTTATTCCGACATACTAGGGACCAAAGTCACCAATTGGAGAGAACCTCGGGTCAGTATAGACTAATAGCCTTCCTGATCCCTTTTATTCCGACGTTGATAAATAACAGCAGCACCAACAAGTAGTGCAATTCCAAACACTTCCAAGGCTCCAATAACATTCTGCATTATTACAATCGCACCTGTCTGTAGTAGTGAAGAAGAAACAAGTTCAGAAAATATGATCTTGTTTAGACTTAAGTAGGAAAATTTTTAATGAGTCAAAGATCTTACTCCATCTGCGGAATGTAGGATAGAGTTAGGTTTCGGTGATGGTTCAGCAACTAAGAGATAGAACAACCCCAACACTCCAGTTTGCCTCTGATCATTGCTGTAGTTCGATAGTAAAGTTATAGTCTCCCCTTCTGAAATCTTGATAGAGCCAGGTCTAGGATAAAAACTAGACATCCCGACAATGTAACCAGCTTCATATCCTGGTTCCTTTCCTTTCCCATAGATTGGAAGAGATGAGCATATGACATGTCCCTCCTAGACCAGTGCAGCGGAAACAAAGAAGAAAAAATTAAGAAAATAATCATGTCAAATAAATGCTAACAACACTTCTTTTATCTGATGTTAAGAGAACGAGATTAGATATGGATTCGATCAATCTGGTCTTGCAAGTTGTGGCATACATAACCAGTGTTATGTATCAACAACAACATCACCAGTGTAGTCCCACTTGGGGAGGATTAGAGTGTATCCAGACACTACCACAACCTTGTGGAGGTAGAGAGGTTATTTCTCGACCCTTGGCTCAAGGATAGCAAATCCAAGTACAAAAAAATAAAAATAAAAAGAAAACATAGCCAATAACAAGGGAAGCAATGCAAATCCCACAAGAGAGGAACTAAAACACAAAATAGTGATATAATAAAAACACGATAAACACTTGATGTTGATTAAAAGAAAAAGTTTTTTGTACAAAAATCTTTGTTTTATACATTGTCTGAAAATGTATAAGATTGTAAGCAGAACATGACCAAAGAAACAAAATATAATAGCTCAGAGTACCTCTCCATGGAGTGCCATCCCAGTCCCTCCTATATGTTGATGAGCAACTCCATAGATGAGATCTCCGCCACTAGGAAATATTGTGCTTATCTTCTTTGTATGAGTGCAATCAACATTTGCAACAGATGCCGCACATGACTCCACTAAATATTTGATCTGAAGTAAAGGAAATTGCATGAATATTAACCATATACATTTAGGTAGTAGCAAAGAGCTAAAAATGATTTGATTTATCATTCGTTCTTGTAATTATCATAGGGAACTGCACATACCTTACAGTGATGTCTTGCCACAGTGGCATTCGATTTTTCTTGCTTTTTCCATGTATCAGTGATATCAAGTAAATATATATTTACAGGCACAATAGAGGCATCCCAATCAATATACTTCACTGTGTACTTCAGGTACAGGTTTCTCTTTGATCCTTGGAATCCGTCTTTCACCTTGCATCTTGTTCCATTGTAACAACATCTCGAGCCTCCGATGTAATCTGGCTCTATATCTCGGTTGTTCTCGTCCTTCGTAACATTATAAAGATCACACCTGCATTCAGTGCATCCCAGTCTATCTTCAGCGCCTCGTGTATCAATTGCATGTAAATTGAGCATCCGTTTCTCCTCGTATCTAGGAGGTACTTCGACTGGATTACCGACTTCTATTCTATAAGGGTCTGGAATATAGATGATTGTTTTTCGGGTCTCTGGACCAACACCAAAATATACAGTATTAAGGACTCCACCACATATCCCTGAGTTACTCTTAATAATAGAATCTGATTGGTCGTACCCCAAATCATAATGGTACTTTGCTACTTCTACACCTTTTCGATTAAAATATCTTGAAACAACCCAATGGTGAAGATATGTCTCGTAAAGGGGTACCGAATTCCCTGCCTCATCAACTACTTCAGCATCAAAACTTTTAATAGCAATATGGCCTTTTGGGAAGCCAATGTTGTAGTAAAACTTGTTAGAGACAGATCCAGGTTCCAGCACAAACGCTGGTGATAGAAAGACACCAACTTTCACACCGTTTTCTTGTGTTGCTTGAGATTGTGAACTTTGATCAACTGTTATTAGCAGTAAGATGGAGACAAGTGAAAACAACTGGTAATTTGAAGAGGGTGACATTTTTTTTCTCTTTCTAACTTCACTTGATGCTAGTATACACAACCAATTAACGACCCACAAATTTAAGCACAAAGAGTGTGGAGACGGGAGACATAGGCAACTCAAAAGGAGATGGGATTTCAGGGAAATAATAAATGATTAGAGGACCAATTCACACTCTCATGATAGTGACATGCCCTCAAACCAAACAACTAAGCTTCACATCTACAACATGATTTGCACATGTCCTATTGTGTAATTATAATGACCCTGAAAGTCATTTTTGGAAATTTTTGGAAAATTACCATTTTAGCCCTCCCGATAAATGCTCAGAGTCACATTAGATCAGTTTTCAAAGTTGGTTTTGTTATTTAAATGAAAAGTTGTGATTTTTGGGAGTTTTGAGTTTTGGAATGTTCAAAGTTGTTAAAAGTGATTTTTGGTAACAACCAGAGTTTCAAGCCTCGGAATGAAATTCCATCAATTCCGTAATGTGGAATTTGGTTAAGGACTGTTGTTGTTCTCTATTTTAGGGTTGTTATGTGGATTTGAGCCTTTGAGTTAGAAATTTAAGTGATTTTGGACCATGAGTTGACTTTGATCAACATTCGGAGTTCGGACGCTCAGATTGGATTTCCAAAGATTTCATTAGATTCGGAGGATGATTTAGACCTAGTTGTGGTCTTGGTTGATTTTTTGGAGGTTTCGAGGGCAGTTTGGTATTTTTGAGTGTTTAGTTAGTTTATTGCGACTTTCACAGGTTTCGAGTCAAGAAAACCTCAAATCGGTGATTCGGTGGTTCCATTGAGTCCGAAACATTAATATAGTCGAGTAGTGTACCTAATTTGTTGTTCTAAACAAATCCCAAGGCTTTCATTCTGTGAATTTTGTGTCTTGTGGGAATTGTTAATGTTGTTGATGTCTGGTGTCCTCTGCATTTGTGGGGATTGACCACGTTCGTGGAGACTAAGGAGTGTTTCCTCCGCATTAGTTGATAAACTCCCGCGTTTGCGGTGGGTTAATCGCCTAAAGGACCACGTTCGTGAAAAGGGCATTCGAGAAGATTAAATTACTGGCAGTTTTATCTTGGGTATGGATTGACTCTCTCCTTAGTATGTTATTCTTGATTGTAATGCTAAGATTGTGACCTTAGTGATGCTTGGTGTTCCGAGGATTGAGTGGAAGGTGCTAGTGGTTCTTACCCTAGCAAGGTTATCTCATTCCTACGTGCTTAGAGATTGGTGGATAGAGGGTGTTTATCCTACTTGGTTTTTATCCTGGATACTAGTGTTAAGTCACCTCCCATGGAGTCCATTCTCGTGGTTCAGGAGTTTCCAGATGTATTCCCTACTAATATTCCATATGTTCCTCTTGATAAGGACATTGATTTTGCTTTTGATTTGGAGCCAGGCACTAAGCCTATCTCTATTCCTCCTTATCCCATGGCCCCAAGAGTGTTGAAGGAGCAGTTGTCGGATTTATTGAGTAAGAGGTTCATTCGTCCTAGTGTGTCACCTTGGGGTGCACCGGTCTTGTTTGTTTAGAAGAATGATGGGTCTATGAGAATGTGCCTCGATTATAGACAACTGAACAAGGTGATGGTGAAGAACGAGTATCCTCTTCCGTGCATTGATGATTTGCTTGATCAACTTTAGGGAGCAACTTTGTTCTCTAAGATAGACTTGAGGTCTGGTTGTTCTCTAAGATAGACTTAAGGTCCAGTTACCATCAGTTGAGGATTAGGGCATCAGATGTCCCTAAGACAACTTTCCGAACCCGATATGGCCATTATGGGTTCTTGGTGATGTCCTTTGGGTTGACTAATGCTCCTGAAGTGTTCATGGAGTTGAAGAACGGGGTGTTTTAACCTTATATGGATTCTTTTGCGATTGTATTCATAGATGTCATTTTGGTGTACTCCAACATTGAGAAGGATCATGTTTTCCATTTGAAGATAGTGCTTTAGAGGTTGAGAGAGGAGAAGTTGTATGCAAAATTTTCAAAGTGTGAGTTCTAGCTTAATTCAGCGGCATTCTTGGGACGTGTGGTGTCCAATAAGGGTACTGAGTGGATCCAGCCAAGATTGAGGCGGTGAGAGGTTGAACGATGCCTAGTTCTCCGACTAAGATTCGTAGTTTATTAGGTTGGTAGGCTACTACATACAATTTGTATAGGGTTTCTATACTATTGCAACCCCACTCACCAGATTGACTTAGTAGAGTGTGGGTTTTCAGTGGTTTGATGAGTGTGATGAGAGCTTTTTAAACCTCAAGACCTTGTTGACTTTGGCACTTGTTTTGACTCTACCAAAAGAGGGTGTGGGCTTTATCGTATATTGTGATGCTTCAGGTGTCGACTTGGGTGGTGTTTTGATGCAAAAGGGGAAGTGATTGACTATACTTCCAGGCAGTTGAAGACCCATGAGAAGAACTACCTTACTCATGACTTGGAGTTGACGGTCGTGGTCTTTGTTCTTAAGTTGTGGCGACACTACTTATATGGGGTGCATGGCCGAAGATAGAGAGCAAAGAACCACAATATATATATGTGTGTGTGTGTGCGCGCGCGCGCGTGTGTATATATATATATGTGTGTATCTTTCTCATCCTCCTGCGTGCCTTACTATGTTGTAGTTTTTTCTAGAGTCATCCTTACGTAAATTCGGATAATTTCTCATCATCTTAACATTGACAAGCATGTCACTATTCAAAGATCCAAAGATATGTCATTCACAAACACTTAGTACTTTATTCTTATGCATAATATATATCATCATTTACTCAAAGTTTTATTTTAATAATATTGACAAAATTATGTAATTCAGTAAATTGACATACAAGTGCAACACACATGTCCAAAAAGAAGAGAGATCATAACTTGCATTGTGTACTACACAGGAGAGCACAGTCACCAAATGGAGAGAACCTCATATCAGTATTGTTGACACCCTGGAACTCTACATTATAGATTAATCATCGAGCCTCTTTAATTTCAAATTATTTAAAATAATTAGTTTCATAAATTTTTAAAAAATAAAATAAAAATATTTTTGCAAGTTTTTAAATAGTCTATCACTTTTTATAATTTTTAATAATATATATGTTTTATATTATTATGTATGAAATAAGTATATCCTATAAATATTCGAAAATCATCTCAAAAGATTTTATATTTTTAGTGTGTTTTAAAGTGATAGCTATACTTTTGAATTAATTAGCTTTTATGAAATTCGAAATATTTTTCGAATTATTTTTATGTAAGTTTTGTCAATTTTATAATTTTTAAATATAATAAATATGTTTTTATAGTTATGTATATAATTAGTATATTTTTATTTGAAAATCGTCTCAAAAGGTTTTAGTTTTGCTTTAAATTTTGCCAATTAGTTTAATTAATTAATAGTTAATATTTTAAAATTGATTATTTTATCTGGTTAAGATTAAGAAGCTCATTAATTAATTTATATTAATTCATCTTATTTGACCTTAGTCGAATTCCTCAACTAATTCAAATCGACTATGTCCTTAACTTCACTCGGCCGAATTTGTAATCTATATGGTTATTTTTCAAAATTGAATTTTAACCAATATTTGCTCCATTTAGTGGATCAATTTAAGACCAAAATTGGGCCAATTTTTAGCCCAACTTCCATTTAAATCAGCAGCCCACATTACATTCATCAACAACTCCCAAATACTCACAACAGCAGTACCAAAAACCAACCCAATGCCATCAGCAGTACGCGACGTGATCCACGCGCCTTTCTTCTTCCTCGCGAAGCAAATCAGGACGCTGCAAACCCAGAAAATCGCGAGCAGTACCAAACCCGACCCCACCCCTGCATTTTCTTCGCGAAAAAGTCAAAGAAAGAAACCCAGAATCGCACGCCTTTTCTTCTTTGCAAAAAAACCCGTACGTCACCCATTTGCAAACCCATAACCCTAGCAACCTAATCGATCAAATCGTTGTTCCCTTTCCCCCATTTTCAGAGATCTTCAAATCTCTTTCATTGTTCCCTTTGGAAACGAAGAAAGAAATTCAAAAGTTTTGAATTTTGCTGAACGGATTCCCCCCCCCCAAATCACCCCAACTTTCCTTATAAATAACCCCCTACTCTCAGTGATTAGGACACGGGTTTTGAGCTTGGTTTTTGAGCCATAGACATTTTACACTTAAGAATTCCATATCTAGCTTTCTGATTCTAAGCTCTGAGAAGATCGACGCTCGGAGTTTCTTAGCGTGTTGTTCGTATATAGATTTCATAGTAGAAGAGTCGTTGTTCTCAGCTCATTTGTCCTAGTCTCGCTGCCCCCGAAAAGGTAATCTATTTCCCTTTATCAAGTTTCCTCTTCCTCTCGTATTTTTATCTTTTGAAGTTTTCAATTTTAATTATGTCGGCTTCTTTTTGAGCTTGATATGTCATTTACTTATTCATTTCTGAAATGGTGTACTAGCTTTCTGTTAAGTATTCACAAATTAGATTTTGTTCCACCAACATGCTTGGTTAGTTGTTTAATGGATTGTAAGCATCCCGTGTGTGTTCAAGTTCATGGGATAAGATTTTGGCTTTGGCTTGGACCATTTTTTAGCATCTGTTATTTGCCTAATCTATGTCGTCCATGTAGTTCATCTTTACTGCTTCTCTGTTTGTCAAAAATGATTACAGAAGTTTCGTAGTGAATTTGCTTTGCTATGTTTCTTGTTCACTACTTGGTGTTGTTAATCTCTAATAAAGAGAGTAGCCTTGATTTAACAATATATGTAATTTGTATGGTACACTCTCTTCTTAGCAAAATGTGTTCAGTTTTTTTTTTTTAGTTTAATTAAACCGGTATGGGTTTATAACTTTTCTAGTCTTTTAGTGCATGTCAAAATTATCGTGGGTTCATTTCGAGGTATTTTCCTTGCATGTGCTTAATCTTTATGTGTTTAGAAGTATTATACTTGAATGAGGTTGTCTTTATTTGCCATGATAGGAAGATCTAGTGTTTGACAATGCCATTTTCATTTTTTACTCAAATGTCGCCCCGCTTCGGATTTGATTTTGCTTAAAATGTTCTAATATCTCATCATGATCTCGTTGTCCCGATACATATCCTTAGGAATACTTAGCGTAGTAATTTGCTCTCTTTTCATGTATGTATATCCCCATTTAAGTCTCTTATATCTTAGTTGGCTAGAGTTTGGTCCTTAGGATGATTAAACTTGAATCTTTGGTGTTATTTTCCTCGCAGTTCGATTGTCATGTTTGGTGGCTTCTATTTCCAAATAAACAAAATTACCTTACTCCATATCTTTGATTTATGATACCTCTGCGATAGGTGGCTTTATTTATTGGTAGATGCATAGTTTGATTGTTCGTTAGCCTGCTCCCTCTCTCTTTTATACATAATTATGTTAATTACTAACTATTTGTTTACCATATTGTGAGCTGCTTTTATTACATCCATTTTCACTCGCTTATAAACTTTATTCTTGTGTGTGTATACATATGCCTTGAAATTTCCTTATGCGTAGATTGTGATAGTCTAGTGTTAAATACATTACTTCCTATCATGCTTTGATTTCCTTCATGCACTGTTAAGTCATAGATGAAGAGTGAGTTTTTTTTTCCTTTGATACAGTAGTATTCATTTGTCCTATGGTAGCTTTGGTTGCATTTTTTTTAAAGTGCTTGAGTTGCTCTTTACTTCAATTGAATTATGCTTCATTTGCTTCTTCGTCTCACATACTAATTTTGTTCTTTCTTTCGTTTCTTGTATGGACCCCCTTTCGAGTCCATGGTGGACTTATCTACCTTACATTTCCGAGTTGAGCCATAAAGGCTCGATCTTTGCTTTCCCTATTTCTCGAGTCAGCCCCCCTATGTATTTGGAAGCCGTTACAGATCCCGGAGGCCCAACAAACTGCTGGAAATTAGTTTAGAAATGTTTAAAAGCCCAAGAAATGGGTTGTATCATGTTGTATACAATATTTATACACTGATATATAGGTTGAGGTACTGAAATATAGATCCAAACTGCGGATATACAGGTCGAAGACGAAAAATACAAGTCTCGATAGTTAAAAATGGAGTTATATACACTGATATACGGACAGTATACGGTCTGTATACAAAAATCAGAAATGGGCCCAAAAGCCCCAAGAAAATTCAGGCAGCTTTTTTTTTTTTGGAAGATGGGCCAAAGCCCATCTGATTTTTGGGCAGCCTTTATAATAGTTTAGGACAGGGAAATGGGGCAAAAGCCCAAGATCAGAAAGGCCCAAATCTTCCTCCCTCACTCTCTATTTGAATTTATTAATTTGTCTTACTCTTACTTGCTTATTTGATAATTAATTTTAAGGTTAGCTTAATTAAATTCCCCAAAAGATGAACTATATTTTTTATGTTAGTACATTTTAATATAACTCATTTTTTATCAACTCTCATACTTTTATTTAACATCATTAGTCAAAACTTATTTTTTTTAATTAATTAAAAATAGTTTCATGCTTAAATTAACTAATTTAGTTCAAATTATTATTTTTTAAAATGATTCAAAAAAATAAAAAATTCTAATTAATCTAGTTTTGTTAAAGTTCCAATCACTTGTAATTAGATTCAAACGTTTCAATTTAGGTCCCTTTCCTTAAAAATAAAATAAAATGTGTCCTTTATTTAATTATTTTTTCAAAGTTAAATCAAATATTGTAAATTATTAGTTTGTAAGTCAAATCATTTTCCTAAAAAATAGTCAAATATATTTTAACCAAGTCGTAGGATAACCGCATGTTAGTGGGCGCTTCAAATGCCTTAAAAACCTTCTTGAAGCGTAAATAAGAACCTCTTACCCATTTTCTCTAAATTTATAAAGATTTAATCTGTTAGAGTCTTTTTAAATTAAGTTTTCTTAATTTCTTTAAAAAAAATTAAGTGGCGTTTTTCAAATTGTTTTATACTTAGAACATTTCAAAATGTGATTTTTCTAAAGTTAGTAAAATTACAGCATAACAAGTATACACTAAGAATAGAGTTACGTTTCGATGATGGTTCAACAACAAAGAGATAGAACAACCCCATCACTCATGTATACTCTGGGCATTGCTATATTTGATAGTAAAGTTACAGTCTCTCCTTCTGAAATCTTGATAGAGTCAGGTCTAGGATAACAACTAGACATCCCGACAATGTGTTAGAAAATTGAAAGAAGATTTCCAGAATTTTCACTGTGTATTGATTTCCCAAAGGGAGTGTATTTATACAAGTGCTTAGCTGAAAATAAATAAGGAAGAAAATATATTTTGTACAGTTGTTCCTAAACTATTGGTCTAGTGTATAACAGAAAATATTATCCTTTCTATAGGCATACTTTCCTTACGTGACCACATTAGCTATTTATTTGGGTTTCATCAGATGGTAAAGATTTAATCCATCAATGAATAAAGTATCCTCTCTAATGCTGCCACGTGTGGAACTGAAGACAAGCTCTTTGTCAATATTTGTGTATTCACGTAGGTTCTTCCGACAATACTTCTTTCCATTTTTTCTTCGATCAGCTTGGGCATCAATGAATGAGGATAATACTCATTCTTCTTCAACATCACCCTCAAGTTGGAGGGGGTGGATGAAACCCCCAACTTGCACAGTAGATCACAATGTGGTGCACCAGAGAGAGCTTTGGTGAAAAGATCGGCAAGCTGGTGTTGAGAGGGAACAAAAGAGAGACTGATGAGCCCACCATACATAAGAAGGATTTGAGAACAAAGAAGACATTACTTTTAGTTGTCAAAAGAAAAGTCCAAGTGCTTCTACTATAGTCAAGAAGTACTTATAACCATTGTGAGTACAGGACTTGTAAGGACCCATGTATCAATGTGAATCAAATCAAATATTCCTTTACATTTGATACTACTAAGGGGAAAATGAAGTCTAGTTTGTTTAACTTTAGAACATACATCACACACATGATCAGAATTTGAAGAAAAATCAATGAAACAAAAACTTTTCATTACTGAAAAAGAGAGATGTCCCAATCTACAATGCCAGAGTTGTGCATTAGAAATAGCATTTGCATACATTGGAACTGACTCTAGATTTGAGCTAGAAACGGGACTGTCATGACTGAGTTTTTTTGAAAGAAAAGCTATTATCACTAGAAGACTTCTTAGATTGATCACTTCTCTGCTCCAAAACATATAAACTTTTTCCTTCACTTTACCAAAAGCTTGTGCCCTCTTCATAAAAGGGGACTGCAACATACACCCACTAGAATTAAAATAAGAAGTGCAATGAAATTGGCAACATAATTTGTGAGTAAACAACAAATTATATTTGAAATCTGGGACATAAAGAACATTCTTAAGAGTGAGTTGAGATTTAAAAGAAACACTACCTATGTGTGTGACATTTATTTTTAAAAAGTTTGGAAGACTGATACTCAAAGGAACAATAAGAGGAGTTAAAAAATAGGAAAGAGTTGGAATCATAACACATATGCTCAGAAGCTCCGAGTCCACAATCTTAAAACAAGAACCAGAGTACTTAAGAATAGTACCAGCAACAACATTAGCATTAATTTCTGATTCAGGAGTTGTTCCATGTCCCATTTCTTCCTTCATCATGTTTTTGATTTGTGTTATTTGCGCCTTGTTGAATTGTTGCCCTCCTTCCTTCCAGTTACTCTGAATTTGTGTAGTGTCACTTTCCTCAAAAACTTCTCTTATCATTGTTGTGTTTCCCTTAGGTGTTCCCTGAAATTCTCTATTGTTGGTAAATTAAAAATCATCAGGATACCCTATCAACCTGTGACAATCTTCTTTTATATGCCCTATCTTAATGCAGTGATTGCAGGTCACATCAGGGTTAAATTTTGTCTTTCTTCCTTTATTTCTGAATTGGTTTCCTTTTTGCCTCTGCAATGGGAAAACATTCCTTTGAGCTTGTTTCCCTTGCTTCTGTATAGGACTTGCAGTTATACCTACCATGACTGAAACAGTCTCACTAGGAAAATGAGCATTAGCAAACACTTCCCTTTGATTCTCATCTTGTAGCAATAGATAACAAGTATAATCAAGTGTGGGAAGATAGTTTGACATGAGTATGATACTCCTAACATTGGAATACACATCAGTCAAACCCATTAAAAATTGCACAAGTCTTTGATCCTGCAGCGATTTGGTTAATTTTTTTTGCCCTTCACATATACAAACACAAGTGCACACTACATCCGCATTCAGCGAATCTAGCTCATCCCATAGACGTTTGAGCCTAGTAAAATATGTAGAAATATCAAGTGTACCTTGTACTGATCCTATGATCTCTTTTTGTAGATGAAACAACTTAGCTCCACTTGTTTTCCCAAGCCTATGCTCAAGACTCATCCACATATCTCTAGATGTTTTGGAGCAGATTGCATTGCCTTCTATATCTTTGGAGACAGAATTCAGAAGCCAAAAAGTAACCATATGATTGCATCGACTCCACTGTTGGTAGTTTGATGTATTCAGATCTGGTGGTGTGATGGATCCATTGATAAAACCCAGCTTATTCTTAGCTGAGAGATCTATGAGGACAGATCTTCGACATCCAGGAAAACCTCTTCCATCAAATGAGGTATTCACTAGGGTCTGCCCTGGTGCATCTGAAGGTTGAAGGTGAAAATGATGATTGATGTCAACTTTGTTTCCAGATCCCGTGTTGACAGGGTCGATGGTGTTTCTAGCATTGGTAATGTTGATTTGGGTCTCATCACTCATGTTGATTGATAGGAAATCTTTAGGTTGAGCTTATTGCTTTGATACCATGTTAGAAAATTGAAAGAAGATTTTTAAAATTTCATTGTGTATTGATTTCCCAAAGGGATTGTATTTTTACAAGTGCTTTGCTGAAAATAAATAAGAAAGAAAATATATTTTGTACGGTTGTTCCTAAACTATTGGTCTAGTCTATAACAGAAAATATTCTCTTTTCTATAGGCATACTTTCCTTACGTGACCACATTAGCTATTTGTTTGGGTTTCATCAGATGGTTAAGATTTAATCCATCAATGAATAAAGTATTCGCTCTAATGTTGCCACGTGTGGAGCCTGGAGACAAGCTATTTGTCAATATATGTGTATTCATATGGGCTCTTCCGACAATACTTATTTCCTTTCTTTCTTCGATCAACTTGGACATCAATGAATGAGAATAATACCCATTCTTCTTCAACACAATGTAACCAACTTCATTTCCTGGTTCCTTTCCTAACCTTCTCCATAGATTGGAAAAGATGAGCATATGACACGTCCATCCTAGACCAGTGCAGCGGAAACAGATAAGAAGAAATTAAGAAAATAATCAACACCATCTTCTGAAGTATGACAATCGTGTCAAATGAATGCTAACAACACTTCTTCTTTTTTTATGTTATGAGAATGAGATTAGATATGGATTCGATCAATCTGGTCTTGCAAGTTGTGGCATACATTTCCAGTGTTAAGATGCAACTCAACTAATAATCCAAGTATCATCAACAAGAACACCAACATACCCAGTGTAGCTCCATAAGTGGGGTCTGAGAAGATAGAGTGTACGAAGGCCTTACCACTACCTCGTGGAGATAGAGAGATTGTTTCTGAAAGATTCTCGGCTCAAATATAGCAAATCCAAGTACAAAAAATAATTAAAAATATATAAGAAAACATAGCCAAAGAAACAAAATATAATAGCTTAGAGCACCTCTCCATGGAGTGCCATCCAGTCCCTCCTGTATGTTGATGTGCAACTCCGTAGATGATATCTCCTCCACTAGGAAAAGTTATGCTTATCTTCTTTGTATGAGTGCAATCGACATTTGCAACATATTTTAAAAGTAGATGGATTATCTTTTTTAAATTGGAAATTGACATTTTTTTAGTGATCAATTTATTAAGATAACAATTATTTATCCTCAAATAATTCAAGTGAAAAAATAGCAAACATGACAACTAAATTGTTCTTCTCATAGCTAGTTAGAACGCCATAAAAAATAGCATTGTCCGATAATTATCTTACTTGACCCAATTTAATAATAATTCAAGGGTATAATTGGAAAGAAACTTTATAGAGTTTTAATCCAAACACAAGAGAGGTGAGAAATAATGAACCAAACACTTGATATAAATAAACTCTGCATTCCTAATCATTGCACTACTAATCATTGCATTACTAATCTTTGTGTTACTAATCCATGCGTTATTAAACTTTGTACCAAACGACCTCTAAAACTCTTACATTTGACAAGTTCATCAAGCTAAACAATAGGCATGTGTGAAATTCTGAGAAAATGACCAAAATGGTCCTGTATAGGTAATGCTTTATATTTTTGGTCCTTAATATATTCCACTTGATTGAAATGGTCCTTAATGTATAACAAATATGTTCATTTTGATCTTTAATGTATTTTATTTTATTGAAATGGTTCATTTTGATCTTTTACCCTATATCTAAATAAAAAGTGTTAAATTTTATTTTAGACCCTACTTGGCTAACAAAAATTACCATTATTGTCTTTTTTGTTAGCTCCAAAGAAAGAATAAAGAAAGAATTCCATAAATCTGACACCATTTTCTCTAGTTTCTCCAACAAAATTTACTATATTCTCTTTTCTATAATATTATTTCAAAACCTAATACCCATTTCAATTTTAAGCAAGAGAAAATAATAAACATGTTAGAGAAAATAGAGAAAATGATGTTAGATTTCATAAAGTATTTCTTGGGAGTAATTCACCACGTGGGGTCCACAGTTAAATTTAAGATTATTTTTTTGATAAACTTGTTGAGTTTAGGGTTAATGACCAAAATAAACATATTTTGTTATACATTAAGGATCATTTCAATCCAGTGAAATATATCAAGGACTAAAATGAACACATTTATTATACATTAAGGACCATTCCAATCAAGTGAAATGCATTAAGGACCAAAAAAAGCATTACACATACATTTAGGACCATTTCGATCATTTTCTCCTGAAGTTCTACTCTTGTAATTAGGAACATGTTAGTTAATTTCTTAGGAGAAACAAAGCTTCATTGATTACATTTGATTATTTTCTAAATTACCTTTGCAAACTTGATAAAAAAAAAAAAGTAGAGGAGCTAAACGGGGCAGGGTAGGGTGGGTTGAATCCATGGTAGGGCAAGGCTTGGGATGACAATGGAGCGGGTATGGGCGGGGTTTGGTGGAGGCAAATTAATAGGCATTTTTTTTGTTGAACAAAGAACAAAAACTAGCTGAAGATTCATTAATATGATACTGCAAATATTATTTTCCCCTGTTGTGGTAATTGAAAGTCAAATAAATAGATGCAACTTTGTATAATACTAACATATACTAGGAAATTAAGAAATAGTACACCATATTTTCGTGTTGAATACAAAAGAGTGAGTCTTATTGTTTTTACATACTCATTTTCTTATTATGTATAGGAAGAATAGAAATAATTTTGTATTAGAAAAAGAAATTAATAAGAGACAAACTTACCAGATTAGTAAAAATTCAGTGTGGAGACTAAAAAATGTAGGAGAAATTAGGAGTTTTTTTGTGATGAAATAAATGAAGAGCAATCCCATGACAATGGTAGTTCTCAACTGATATAAAAGATAAATCTTTCACCTATATTTGATTGGATATAATTGATACATAATATATTTGAAAGAGGGGATAAATGCATATTATATTCGTTGTATCATGAATACAATTGATACAGAATACAAATACAATTGATACAAAATATAAAATAGTTTTTTGAATACAATATATAAAACCCTACATATAGCTACGAATTGTAATATTTTATCGTAAATAAATATCACATTTTGCCTTGTTGCGTAATTTTCCCTTAAATCTGTTTCTGACATTATTATATTTAATCCTAATTCAATAATTTTAGCTGAATTCAAGATCTGTTTTGTCCTTAGAAAAGCAAAAGTAACATCTTTGAAATAAATTATTCTTTTTTGTTATTTCACGGCAACAGTAACCTCTTGGAAATAAATTAATTCTTTCTTGCTATTTCACTGCAAAAGTAAGATGTCAACTAACCAAATTGTTTTGCCTTTGAGATATTCAGATTGAAAATTAAATTTGAACTTATTTACTTTTAGAAGTAGGAAGCTGTTGGGTTCTGAAGGGTGATTAGGGCGTCATGCGGAAGCTTACAATTTACAAATCATATAGTTGATAAATCAGATAACAAAAAACTTATACTAAAAAATCAAAATATTATTATATCAAAACTAATATAAAGAAAAACATTGAAACTTTAGAGAGAATAAATCTCCCCATAAACAAGACTGTTAAACGACTACATTGTGGATGTTATTGTTTTTGTGTTAGAAGAAACAAACATATTTATAGAGTCCTAAAACCTTTTCTTACTAGAAAAGGAGTCCTAAAAGGAGAGAATAAATCAAATATGAAAGAATATTATATTTTCCTTTCAAATAAGTAAAAACATTTATGGTAATGTTTTGTCTTTTCTTTAAGGAAAAATAAATCTTAAATTATGGTAAGAAAATCAGGACAAAACCCTAACAGAAGCCTACTTATAAGTTAAAAGAATATTTTTGCTAGATAATATCTATCTAATTAATGCTAATTAACTATTCAACTTCTTAACAATGACAAACATGTCACTATACAAAGATCCAAAGATACATCATTCACAAATACTTGTACTATCATTTACTCAAAGTTTTATTTTAATAATATCATTATTATTTTACAAAATCGTATAATTCATGACTTGACATACAAGTGCAACACACATGTGGAGGAACTAGTCCACGAAAAGAAGGGAGATCAGAACTTGAATTTTGTGTATTACACTAGGGACCAGAGTCACCAGAAGGGAAAGAACCTCACATCAGTATAGACTCATAGCCTTCCTGATCCCTTTGATTCCGACGTTGATAAATAACAGCAGCACCAACAAGTAGTGCAATTCCGAACACTGCTGCCAAGGCTCCAATAGCATTCTGCAATATTACAATCTCACCTGTCTGCAATAGTGAAGAAGAAACAAGTTCAGAAATATATGATCTTGTGTAGACTCAAGTAGGAAATTCACTACTCTGAATCTCGAAAACTTTTAATGAGTCAAAGATCTTACTTCATCTGTGGAATGTAGGATAGAATTAGGCTTCGGTGATGGTTCAGCAACTAAGAGATAGAACAACCCCATCACTCCTGTATGCCTTTGGGCATTGCTATAGTTTGATAGTAAAGTTACAGTCTCCCCTTCCGAGATCTTGATAGAGCCAGGTCTAGGATAACAAGTAGACATCCCGACAATGTAACCAGCTTCATTTCCTGGTTCCTTTCCTTCCCCATAGATTGGAAGAGATGAGCATATGACACGTCCATCCTAGACCAAAGCAGCGGAAACAGAGAAGAAGAAATTAAGAAATAACCAACACCAAACACCAACAAACAAGGTGCTCCACAAATCAGAACAAGTAAATCTGCTTAGCTAATCATGACGACAATTGAGAATAATATGCTATACAAACACGCAACAACTATTATGACTGTTTTACTACCCGATAGCCATGGCCTTATACACCAGCTTATCTTCCTGAGTTCCCACACAAGTACTGAACTTACACCTATGCACTTACAAAACTAAAGCAGTTAACTATCAAGAAGCAATATTATCACCTATAAAATGACGCAGTTCATCGAGAGGCCACTATATTAACTAAGCAGACAATATAACACGGCCATTAATTGTCTCAACGGGCAGGAGGCTCCATTCAGTATAATAAAAAACATCAAGCTTTCTGCAGCTAATTGAAAATAAATTGAAATGATACCATTCTGACAGTCTGGGACATAACAGTTTGAATCAACAAAATAATCTGTGGAAGTATGACAATCATGTCAAATAAACACTAACAACACTTCTCTTTTATAGGATGTTAAGAGAACGAGATTAGATATGGATTCAATCAATCTGGTCTTGAAAGTCGTGGCATACATAACCAGTGTTAAGATGACACCCAACTAAGCCAAGTATCATTAAATGAAAAAGTTTATTGTACAAAAATCTTTGTTTTTATCAATAAGTTAATCGACTGAAAATATATAAGAAACGTATACAAGTAATCCAGATTGTAAGCAGAGCATAACCAAAGAAACAAAATATAATAGCTCGGAGTACCTCTCCATGGAGTGCCATACCAGTCCCTCCTGTATGTTGATGAGCAACTCCATAGATAACATCTCCGCCGCTAGGAAAAGTTACAATTATCTTCTTTGTATGAGTGCAATCGACATTTGCAACAGCTGATGAACATGACTCCACTAAATATTCAATCTGAAGTAAAAGAAATTGCCTGAATATTAGTAAAGAGTTAAAAATGATTTGAATTATGAGCTAAATTATCATTTTCTCTCACACCTGGCAGTGATGTCTTGCCACAGCGGCAGTCGATTTTTCTGGCTTTTTCCATGTATCAGTTATATCGAGTATATAAATTTTTACAGGCACGATGGAGGGATCCCAATCAATATACTTCACTGTGTACTTCAGGTACAGGCTTCTCTTTGATCCTTGGAATCCGTCTTTCACCCTGCATCTTGTTTCATCGTAACAACATCTCAACCCTCCAATGTAATCTGGCTCTATAACTCGGTCATGCTCGTCCTTGGTAACATTATAAAGATCACACCTGCATTCAGTACATCCCAATCTATCTTCCGCACCTCGTGTATCAATTGCATGTAAATTGAGCAACCATTTCTCCTCGTATCCAGGAGGTACTTCGACTGGATTACCGACTTCTATTCCATAAGGGTCTGGAACATAGGTGATTGTTTTTCGCGTCTCTGACCCAAGGCCAAAATATTGAGAAAGGCCTCCATCACATATCCCTGAGTTTCTCTTGACAATTAAATCTGATTGGTGGAACCCCAAATCATCACGGTACTTTGTTACTTCCACACCTTTTCGATTATAATATCTTACAACAACCCAGTGGTGAAGATATGTCTCGTAGAGAGGTACAGCATTCCCTGCCTCATCAACTACTTCGGCATCGAAATTTTTGATAGCAATATGGCCTTTTGGGAAGCCAATGTTGTAGTAAAACTTGTTAGAGACAGATCCAGGTTCCAGCACAAACGCTGGTGATAGAAAGACAGCAGATTTCACACGGCTTTCTTGTGAACTTGGATCAACCATTATTAACAGTAAGATCAAAACAAGTGAAAGCAACTGGTAATTTGGACAGCCTAACATCTTTTCTCTCTTTACAACTTCACTTGATGCAAGTATATCTGTTGACAACAGTATCCTCAACCAATCAACAACCCATAAATTTAAGCAAAAAGAGTCTAGTATTAGTTTCTGTTAAGGGGAAGAGCTAGCGTTTTGGCTACGGATGTGACCAATACACTACTACAAACAAATATTTTTCCCACTGTGAATTAGTGGAAAATTTATGCTACAAAACATGATTTTTTCCACTCATTTTCCATCAAACCAGCTCACTGGGTGGAAAAATACAGGGTGGGAAACAAATTTTCATTGAAATAGTGGAAAACTTTCTAATTTTTCCACATGAACATATTACTATTTCTCTTTTCTCATCGATTCAATCAAAAAATCGGTGAGAATTGTGATTGAACATTTTTTAGTGGAAAATTTCTATGGAAAAATAGTGATTTATTTTAGTAGTGGTAGCTTTGATCCAAATAATATATTAGTATTAAAAACTATTCATTGAATATGAACATAATATTAATCTAGAACACAGTAACTTAAAAGGACTAAAATCCCTGAACCTATAAACTTCAAATTTTAACTGTAATTCTATGTAAGAATGCATACATTCTGTTATTGTTGATAAAAGGAATTACAGAATACTGCAAACAGTCTTTTTCCCTTGTCTGGTACTTGAAAGTGAAATAAATATGTAACTTTGTATAATAACATACACTAGAAATTTAAGAAAAAGATGAAAGTTAATTAAACAGTCATTGATCACCTTTTCTTAGGTTTTGGTAAGGAGGAAAATATTTTCCAATTTTCCTTTGTTTGAAAAATATTTTTCTAGTAAAACAAGTTGCATACGTAACATTCCAAGTTTATTGTCTTCTCTCAGGCCGCCCAATACCCTCAACCCCCCTCTCCTTGATCATCCACCCCGCCACCCCCACTCGGCAAATTAGGAGTTTGAGAGTTCTAAATTTCATTTAAAAAGTTGATAGTGGGTTTGAACCCACAACTCTGGCTAAACCCACAACTGTGGCATGGAAAGCATTTGTACAATCCTTCCTTAGTACCATTTGGGGTTCATAAGTTAATATACATATATATTTATTTAATTTTTCAGTACAAATATAGGATCTACGAAAATATTATTGGGTTCGTTTGAACCCACGAACCCCACCTAGCTCCGCCTTTGCCACTCCCCATCCCATCCCATCACACCTCCATATATTATGCGAGATAACATATAAATATTCTTGGATAATATTTTCTTATTTACTTGCCAATGACTAAGAAAATAAGTAAGAACCTCATTTATTTTTCAAGAAAATATTTTTTACGAATTTATTTTTCAGCAGAAAACATGTTCCTTCATACCAAACACATAGTAAAAATCGTGCATAAAGCTAAAATTCATCGAAAAACTAACATATATATTATGATCAATGAAATTCTTTGATCTGGTACAGTAAATCTGTAAATAAAGTATACTAATTATCATTAAGAAGATATAAACTTACCCGATCAATAAGCAAAAAATTCAGTGTGGAGAGACGGGGAATTCCTTCTGTATCGAAAATGAATTTTTTGTGATAGAAAAAAATAGAGATATTATGAAAGCTAAGATATATAGCGACTCTGGTGAGGACACTGCTTACGACATCTGTTGGAAATAAATAGTACTCTCTTCATTTTATTTTATGTGAATTAGTTTGATTCGATACAAGATTTATAAATTAAAAAAAAAAGGTTTTAAAAAATTATAAACTAAAATGAATTATAGAAATTTGTATAATTATAAATCATCTATTAAAAGTAAAATGAACATTTTAAAGTTAAATTGATAAATGATTTTGATTTGAGGAGGAAATTTGGGCGATCCAATTCATGCTCTCTTGATATTGACATGCCCTCAATATTGTCAAACCTATTACCCAAAAAAAAAGAAGATATTGTCAAATCTAACATATAAGCTTCACATCTAGATTCTACTGTACTAGTATTTGTCTTTCGTCTTTATATAGTACTATAATTTAACTTTGACATTAAAAAATAATAAATATTTTAAAATTAAATTATTACTAAATATAAAATGTCAGTTTTTTATTGACTGATTAAAGAAAAAGTAGTCCATATGAATAGGAACAGAGATAGTATAAAGCAAGAGGAAGACAATAGCTTTAAATCTATATACTTTTTTGTCTCAGTTTATATGATATTTTTTTTATTTGATAAATATTTAATGATACTATCAACATTTTATATATGTTGGATTACATTTATCTGGCAAACAATTTCACCAATATTTACTTTTTTATTTAAAAATCTACATATTTTTAAAATAATTTTAAAGCATTGCAAAATCTTCTTGTGTTTCTTAACCTCTAAGAAACTCCGAGCTTAATTAAACTAACATAAATTTGAATGGAGGAGTATAAAATAAGAGGAAAACAATATTTTAAAATTTACTTTCGGTAAAATGGCTAAAAACGTCAATCGGCATGGCACGACTTATATGACAACCACAAATGGCCGGTAAATGCTTTCACACATGAGAAATTATTATCAACCACCTCACCATTAGGTATAATACATAAATATGTCACGTAGAATTCTTGTGTCTATTTATTCAACTTTGTACATGTTTAAATATTTATTTGTGCGTGCACGGGCCCAATATATATGAAACGACCATAGTTAAGAATGCTTGTAAGGCGAGAATAGCTGAGAATACTTGTTAGGCAACATCTGATAAATCAGTAAAGCAGTTGAAGTTTGTTTCATAGAAAAACTGCAAATACATGGATTTCAGCGTCTATGTATGTATTTACAGATTTACAGAAGTCGTCGCAAAAGACAAAGTAATCCATTACTATGTTGGCGGCAATCATCTTGACTATATATCTTTATTATTACCGTTGTAATTTTGTGACATTTGAGGCTTTCTGTTGAAGTAGGAGAAATGTCTTTAGTAGTTGATGTAGAGTATATTGGTACAGTATATATAACAATATCAATAAGAGTATTGGGCCCTCTCTTCAAACTAACTTTTCAAAAAGATCCAAATGTAGCAGTCAAATTTTCTGCAAAAACAAATGAGAAGAATGAAAGAAAATACACAGCTATAAATAAAATATCTGTTGTGGAAAACACTATGTATTGATTTAAGATGTAAGAATATTTAAAGGTACAGTAAGACAGCTACTATATATATATACATTGGCATGCATAAATCACAACTTTAAAACTATAATCTTTTACTCTATATATAAGTTCCCAAACCACAATATAAATAATGAAGAAATTAGAAGATTCAACTATTGAGCAATGTAAAATAAATAAAATTCAGATACCTGTTAAATGAGTTGCGACCAATTCTTCTTCAACTTCTAGTATAACAGCTGGGAAGATCACTGAAAGGCAACGATGCGTCAATCTTCAATTCCGGAATGAGCCATCAAATTGCACCTTCAAAATGTTCATGAAACGTACAAAAGAGATCATTTCATGTAATGGAGGTGACCAAGGTTTCCTTAATGAAGTATTTGTACGGTGGCATAGGTTGCCTAGAAGGGTTAATTTCTTAAAGAAATTTTGGTCAAATAATTCGAATGAGGTCGGCGTTAAGAATCAACTATTCGGGGCAAATCCTCCAAAAGTATACTCTATGCATTATCTCGGGTTAAAGCCATGGGTGTGTTATAGGGACTACAATTGTAACTGGGACATAGGTGATCAACGTATTTATAAATTATGCTAGCAATATCGCGCACGAGACATGGTGGAAACTACATGACTCAATGGATGAGAGTTTACAAAAAATTTGTGGATTGACAGAGCAAAGGAAAATTGAATTAGAATGGGATAGAAAATTGGATGGAAAAGCTGGATTTAAAGATAAACATTGGAGGATTAATGTTACTATATATAGTAGTACTTTTGCTCAGAGTACTTATGAACATGGCCTTCATGCACTATTTATTCATGTGTATATAGAGGATGCTTGTTCTTCATTTTTGGAACATTATGACTGCAGAGTCACTGTTAAGATGATAT